ATATAGCTTCAGCACATGTGACTTGTGAACTTTGATAGATCCTTAGGCTTTTATGCTTTCCAGAATGCTGAGGTTGGATTATTATCACGTAATGAGCATGACGAGCATGTTGTATGCTTTTATAAGTTATTAAGCATGATTTAGGGTTTGGATAGCCTATTTGATATGAACCAAGAGACATCAATCATACAATATACTTCAATGAAGATGTGAAGAAAAGGTTGTCAAAATTATCAAAAGATGTTTCTATTCATGCTACATTGAAGAAGAATAAAGTTTGATTGTTGTAAATTTTGGGTGGGTTACAATTTAGAGTAATTTAGAGTTATTGTATTTTAAGACATGTTATTTACTTTAGGTTACATTTAAGACATGAATGTTACGGAATGCCTTTAATAGTTTCATTTTGAGGCTATATAAAGCCATGTATGTTATATTTGTAAGCAGACTTGAAAAATATAGTAAAAGAAGCATTTGTGCTCTTTCTTTAGCCAATGGCTAAGTTTCTTTGCAATTCTATGTAGTTTAAGTTGCATGTAGAATCATTCAAGCTTGACATGATCAATCTTGTTTGTGGAGTGATTCGAATCTCAAGCAAGTGTTCTTGCCTTGAGATATTTGATCAACAAGAATCATTCAAACTAGACATGATCGATCTTGCTTGTGGAGTGATTCGAATCTCAAACAATGTTCTTGCCTTGAGATATTCGATCAACAAGGTAATCTGAATCTTATAATCCTTGTATTGATTCCTTATCTTATCACTATTATTGGCCAGTCATGAATTTGGACTATCGCTATGTGTCATAAAGTACTAGTTATGATTTCCATAGACTATGAGTTACTATTTCACGTATTTTGGTCCTAGCACCTAGTCATGAGTTCCGTAGCCTTTTTGGGTTGACCAAGTACCTTGTAGAGACGGATCGGGCGCAACCCCTATTTATGAACTAACCAACAGAGGTTAGGGTCTACTTATTACACATGACTTAGTTGTCACCCATAGAGAATTTTTGGAGTCATAGAGGGTATACTACTGAAGTACCTACAGTGGTGACTAGTGGAGAGAGTCATGGTCTTTTTACTGTTTAGCTTGCGTGGCGTAGTGACAAGTAGTTTTACTGTTATAGCCTGAAAAAGCAAAGTAACAGATAGTTACTATTCCTAAGATAGGTAATTTTACTGTTCTAACCCGATGAGGGTTCATGAGCAGGTAGTTTACTACCCCAGCCTGGAAAGGACATAGTGGTAGGTAGTTTTATTGTTTTAACTCGATGAGGGTACATGAGTAGGAAGTTTACTATCCCAACCTGGAAAGGGCATAGTGACAAGTAGTTTACTAATCTTAGGAACAGGTAGATGTTGCCCAGTGTCACAATCGCACTCTTGCGGTAGAGGGGCAACAATTGTGCAGCACTTGTTCTAACCCAGCAAACAAGTTAGCCGTGAGAAATTCAAATTTCGCAGACAACGTGGCGTATGCTCAAACCTCGGGTCACGTTTGAAAGAAATGTTTTAGAAAATGTGAGCGAGTAAATACGTTGAAAACAATTTGAAAGAAAGCAATGTTATATGCTAAAAGCGATTAGGCAACAACGACTTTGATAGCATATTACCCGATTGGGAATAAGTGACAACTAATCATATCCCCCTATAGTACATTTTGGAGCATTTTAGCTCTGGAGTTAAAATAAAAGCATGTAAAAGGGGTTTAAAACGGGCATGCAGCCATGGACAACACGTCCTGGACAAGCATGATCGGGACATCTGACATGCGACCATAGACAACACGCCTTAAACAAGCATGACTGTGAGACCCGACACCACTAGGGAGAATCTGCTGATTAGAGCTCAGTAGGTAGATATGTATGGAGTACGGTAATTATTTGGAGCAAAAAGGGCTCCTCCAGGCTTATGAGTATTACCCTAGGGTCCTTCCATAGGTCACTTCAACTCGAGGCGCACTTTGCACAAGAATGACAAAGGACCTAGACATACGTGAAACCTAAAACCAAAAGAAAATAGAAAACATCTAGGTTGTGAACTTGAGAGGGATTGAATACCCCTAAGGGATGTTGAGGCAAGTTGTACAGTGTCCTACCAAGTTTGGTATAGTTGTTTAGCCATAGTTTGGGTGATCACTAAAAACAACTATGAGCACATAGCTTAAGTTTCCGTATATAGGATTAAGTCTGAAATAGCTTAAGTTTCCGTGTATAGGATTAAGTCCGACAAGAGTCTACAAGTAGGTTGCTTACTGAGTATTTTTATACTCATTCCATGTTATTCTATTTTTGTTTTCCCGATGGAGTGTAGACCACTGTTAATGGCGGGAGCGTGCAGAGCCATGTAGTTGTAGGGGGCGCCCTTTAGATCGAGTCATCTTCCTTCTTGTCATTTATTATTATTTTAAATGTTATTGCTCGAAACTTAGGTACTTTTTGTAGACCATTTTGATTTGACTCCGCGGATATTACCTTTAGAATACTTTTATGTCGGATTTGAATGTATTTAAATTTTAAATTCTTTGTCTCCTGTTTTGCAAAAGAAGATTTTACCGCCTTTTTTACCTTGCGTGCATGGCAACCGGTGATGTGATATCGAAAATCAGGTCATTACAACATTAACTATCAGTATTGCCCATAATCCTATCCAGCATGATAGGACAAAATATATTGAACTTGATTGACATTTTATCAAGAATAAATGAGAGGAGATAGTATGCATTAATTTTATGTTATCACAACTTCAACTAGTAGATATACTATCATCTATCAAAAAGACTCACCGTTCAATGTTTCGTGAGTTAGTATCCAAGTTGGAAATGAGTGATATCTATTCCTCATATTCCTCATCTTGAAGGAGATTGTTAAAAGAATGACTTTAATTTAAGGAATATTTACTCCCATCAAAGAAGTTGTGTAATCCCATTAAAGAAGGGAAGTAGTTGACCTCCTAATTTAGATTGATTGTTCTTCAGTATCTAAGAATTTGTTTTTTAAGTTTAAAATGAATAGAAAGTAAGATAATTTACACTTGCAACACACCTACTTTATGTCAAGTGAGCTATGTATTGCCACTTGGCAGCTTAGCTTGGGGACAATAAATTCCCTTATTGATAGGAATTAACAAGGTATATAGTGGTCAGTTTAAAGAGTGCTAAACTGGGAATGTTCTATTTCTTCCATTAGCCAACAGCAACCGTCTTATAATAAAGCTTGGTGTAAATACTTGATTTTGCCAAATCTCGCAGTAGCCTAGAGAATTGGAATAAATGGTTGATTGCATCAAAGAGAAACCAAATGAACAAACTGACCTGCAGTTTAATTGTGATGCCTCTTTCTCTCTCCAAATCCATGTTATCAAGAAACTGATCCTTCATTTCTCGCGTCTGAACGGTACCGGTCATCTGAAGCAATTTATCCGCCAAAGTTGATTTACCATGATCAATGTGCGCAATAATGCAGAAGTTTCTGATGTGCGATATAGGAACCTGCATTTCAGACCTCAGAAAGCCATACCAAATTCGGTTCCCACAAATATGATTCAATTAAAACAAATGGAAACTGAGGAATTACTCGAGCACATTTAACAGGAGATAGACACAGGCTATTTGACGAGACAGTTGCAGAGGTTTAAAATGAGCATCCAAGAAGCAAATATATTCCGGCAAACAGGAGAGAAAACTAAAGACGGATAAAATTGTTAACATTGTGATAGAGAAAGAACCTTCAACAATCGATCCTGGCCGGCTTCAGCAGCGCATTTAGCATCGAAGAGATGTGTTCCAGCAGTCTGACAAAGGACCTTGCCTCTCGATGTTGCAGTTGAAGAAGAGGAAGAGGAGGAAGTGGAGAGGGAGGGAGAAAGTGGGAGTGGAAGTGTTGGGCAATGGAAGAGGGTGCTTCTCCTTGACTGGAGAAGACGACGATGTTGAGTGCATGTGGATAAGAGAGGCGCGAAGGAAAGCTCAGCCGCCATTGTGGTTCTTAGTTGTTTCGGAGGCTTCGCCGTGGGCTTAGTTTGTTGGCAGTTCACAAAAATAGTGAAAGGCTTAGGGATGGTGTGCGTTGTTTACAGCCACATAAAGTCGGAAGATGTGCCGTTTTCCCACCACACCATTTCTCCGTTCTATTTTTATTTTTATTTTGAATCTTAAATCTGTTAATGTTAAACCTGGTGTTGTAAGTGTATTGGAATCATAAGGTCGACATCTGAATTAATTACAATTAAAAAATTGTTGAAGGATATGAGTTGACTTCTAAGTACAGTCTAATCTCCCACTAAAATAAATTAGAAATATAAAAAATGTTGTGCTTTTCGTCCTTATAATCTGAGTTAAAATTTTGATGATTTAATTTATCCGGTCCTAAAAACAATAATATTTTTATAATTTTTTGTTAAATTAATTTTAGTCGGGTTAAATTAACTTTAGTCCCTATGGTTGTAAAAGTAAAAATTTGATCCCAATGGTTTATTAAACCTTCATAAATAGTTCACATCATTTAATAAAATTCTCACAAATACTCACAAATAGTAATTAGGTTTAACAAAGCATTTAAAATCAAGGAGTAAATTCCAACTTTCTTAATGAAGTTATTGATGCAAGTTTGTTTTTAGTAATTTACTAGTTTTTATTATAATAAAATTATTAAAAAAAGAATTATTTTCTCTTCTCACCCAGGGTCACATTACTTCTTCCACAATTCTTCCACAATTTGATTGAAAGCACGTTGTTAAGGGAGTCTTCTTCCCCCACCTACAAATTCCCATATTTTCGCACTACATAGGCTAAACTCCAATATATGATTGACTTAATCTTGACTATATTAGGTTAGTAATCACAACCCTCCACAATTGTCAGATATTGTTCACTCTGAGCATAAACTCTCTTTGGCTTTGTTTTGGATTTCTCCACAAACCTCATAGAGATGTATTTTTATAAACCAATGATCATTCTCTAAATTAGCCAACTCTCTCTCAAAAATCCTCAACACATGACTACTAAAAAGGATATTCATTACTATACTAATTTATCATAGCATGTACAAGAACAAATTCTAAGAGGATTCTCGAGGATAGGATGCTAGCATGTAGGCTTCAAAGTGTCACCTCCAATCAAACTCAGCAAAATGGGTGGCATTATTGAAGGTAAAGAAAAAAGACATCCAAATTTAATGGGACAAGAAACACTTACGAAATCTTCAAACACCATGTTGCTTAGAAAAAGTTACAAAACCAAAACTCCATAATTTTGCATCTTCTCTAATCATTTTGAAAGCCAATAGATAATGAGAAACAAGGTACATGCTGCAATGACTCCAGACAGAATAAGAGTGTCCCTTGACCGCCTTCTTCTAATTGAACCTGATTATGACATCACAAACTAATTATTATTAGCCCTAAACGAACAGGAAATAACATTAAAATCACCAAACAGTTTATCCTATGTTTATAAATTTACCAAGGAGGCCGCGTATAACTGGGAATTTGTCACTTAGAAGCTTCACTTTTCCTTGAACATCTCCAAACAAAGCCCTTTGATTGCCCAAGACTGCCCTTGTAGTTTGAGCTTGACTTATTACTTCATCCATCTACAGAACAGAACACAAATTAAAATAAATAAACGAAGTACGACAAAACATCAAAATCCATGAGTAAAACGGTTATTTTATACAATATTAATGCTAAACTACTCAATCCCTGGACAATTGAGGGTTTCTAAATTTCAATTTTAATGGTCTACCTCTTTGGTTTTTAAGCTCAAGGTGCATATGAACTAAAACCAGACACGAGGGAAATGGTGAAAGACAAACATAGATTAATAATTAAAGTTGGATGTTTCGGGATTAGTGCACTTAAAAAAAAAAAGGCTGCACTTGGGGAAGGAATTGAAGAAAGAGACAAGATAATCAATAAATTTTATGGAGGCTTACATGAGCTATACTTCCATGAATAGCAGCTCTTTCCCGCAGTAACTGCATCCTCGGTGACATGGTTCCAGGTGACTGTACCAAACACATTGGGTGGGAGTCACTTGCAAAGATGCATTAAATAACATCTAAGTAAACATATTCCATGTAACAATATCAACAAATTCGGTTGTGCTAACCTTATACTCATTGATGTCATCCCTAACAGAACTCAAAAGTTCTGCATGTTCCCTCATTGAGTTAATGTTTCCTTTTATTCGTTTGAATTCCTGAAACACACGGATGCCATTCATTCTTTATTACTTCAATGTTGTTGAATAAAGCATTTATGAAGAAAGTAGCAAGGTGATACATGAATCAAGAAAAGCAAATTACATATGCAGATTCAAGTTTCAATCAGAAATTAGAATATGGCACAGCAGGACCATGAAGTCAAATCATTATCTCATATTTAAAGTTCATCGATGCATTATAACTTTTCACTCAAATATTTCTTGAGTAACAAATATATACATATAGAGAATATTTTGGATATGGTGATAAATATGAAACCATTTAGCTCATGCACGTTTGATAAAATCCCACGGGCAAAATTAAGATAGTAGAAACGAAAAATAGAATAGCATAGTATTGAAATATATAGGTAAAGAAGTACAATAACCCCAAGTATAGCCTTTGAGGTTTTAGCAACCTCCCCTATTCGTATTCTCACTCAAGCCTAAATCAATTGCCAATTAGCCAATTCCCTTCCTTCATCTCCTCCCATGCGCCCTAATTATTACCAATTGGCTAATGACTAATAGACCATTGATGCTCTAATAATATTCCTAACTACCCAAATGTCATTCCCTTCATTACCTGCCCTTAAAACACACTTGTCCTCAAGGCGTGGTTAAAAAAATAGTTTTCTTCCAAAGGATTTCAAAACTGCAGACAAAAAAGGCCAACTTCTCTCTCTCCATCTTTTCTCTCTTCTTCTCTTTCCTTCTTTATTTCTTCTTTTTTCAACAAATATTCACGTAAGCCAATCATCTAATGCCCTCCAGAAATTTGATTTTTAGTCTTGCAAACATTTTGTATTATAAAGCTCAGTTGGATCTGGAGTGTGCAGCAGTCATCAATGCACAGTGGTGGATGATGGTCAATGACAGAGGAAGAGATGGAGGACAAGTAGATATCTGGCGAACATCTGCGCACACAGACATGGCAGAGGATAGCAGTAGCATAGGTGTCTTGCAGTAGCCACTAGGTGCTTACTCTCTTCACATGGGTAAGGTGTTGCCACATTGTGTCGGGCTTTCAGTTTAAAATATAAGGCAACTTCAACTCAATAAATTTATGTATGGTCATCCAATTCAACTCATTCAACCCAAATGTTTCACTCTTTTCAAGCTCTTTGCCCCAGTGTCTTCCAAAATATTCTCCATGACATTTCATTTTTTTCCTTCTTTCTCTCGTGACCCTCCTCTACCTTGATTGGCTGCTGCCTCCAGCTAGGCCAGACCTCAACGTCTGCAAACCATCACCTCACATTCTCCCCCGGCATCCTTTTTTTTTTTTTTTTTTTTTTTTTTTCTA